AGCTTATGGCATGATGGTCTTATATACAAACTTATTGACCTACCTGACCATAACTGGATATTTCTCAGATTTACATATATAAAACTTCTTAACTCAAAGAAAAATCATTCCTACCTTTCATGGCAAGTCAACAGAGCCTTTTATACCGACAGCTGGTGTCCCACAAGGTTCTTGTCTTAGTCCAATTCTATTCAATATTTATGTGAATGATCTTCCTCAACCAGAGTTTAATGATACAATTATAACGCAATTTGCAGATGATGTTATCCATTTCGTCTCGTCAACTCCTGTAGCAGGAAAATACAAATATGAAAGAGTCATAGAAAAAATGAATATTGAATTTCGTCAAGCATCCAACTGGAAAAAGTAATGGAGAATTATGACTAACCCTGACAAAGTCCTGGTTAGTACGATAGGATGTTTTGCATCAACCATCGAAGATAAGGGGGGTATCTCCATCAGAGGTACACCTTTAGCTATTAGAAATCCTAACAAGATCTTGGGATATGAAATAGACAGGCTGCTCCACTCAACATCTCACGTCAATAAAAAGATCAACATAGCCAAAGCCGGTCTTAGCAGTCTCTTTAGATTTATTCAAGCCCCTTCACATGTCAAAAAACATCTGTATAAAATGATGATAAGACCAATACTCGAATACCCATGTGTCCCAATGTCATTAACTACAAAGACCAACATGCTAAAGTTGCAACGGGTCCAGAATAGAGCTCTCCGCTTTATTACAGGTACAAGGAGGAGAGACAGAGTCAAAATGGCAGATTTACACGTACAACAGTATATTACTGCCTTAAATGTATGCCTTGATACGCTAAAGAAGAGACAACTCTATGCAATGCAAGAACTCTACATACCAGATAGAGAACATCCTCTCCAAGTTGAAAATGCCACTGACTGTATCATTAATACTCCTCCTCACAGGACCCAAAGAATGACTCTCCCACAGAGGGTGCGTCGCTTCATCCACAAAGACGATTACCATCAACCAATGATTTTGAGCAACCTCCCTGCAGATGAAAATGATTGGGTAACACCAGAACCCTTCTATGTCTACTAAGAAAATTATCGCCCCTAATTAGGGAAATATCTTGTATAACATTTCTACTTCTACATCTACTGTTATAAATATGCTACATTTATTATGGCGGGACGCCACTTTGAAAGAAGCTAACGTGTCAAGTAATTCTTTACAAACTGTCCAGACAATTACCGCCTTGTCTTGTCATTTAAATATTCATTGTGCAATCGCAAAAAAAAAAAAAATTGCAACTTATATATCTACTACCAATTCAGTCATGTACCTATATATCTGTTATATCTATGTGACTCTGATGGGTTAGTATTATACCTCTTCAAGAATTTTCTATTACACATACACTTTTTAAATTGCACCAAAGTGGTTGGGCCACTTCCCTTTTATATCCTACCTCACTTCCCCCTCCCACCCTTTTCCAATATTTCTATCCTTACCCATCCTTCTTCCTTACCCATCTTACCAAAGACTCTGGTCATAAGAATCAAATCAAACACTTATTCCTCTATAATATTTACAATCTCTCTTGTCCCCCTTTCCCTTTATATGAAGGAACTATACATGCTCTCTGCCAGTCCCTAGGTACCTTCTCATCTGTCGAAGATTTATTGAACAAAAGTACCAACCACTGAAGAACTATCCCCACCTGCTTTTAACATAACTGTCATGATCGCATCAGTTCCAGCTACTTTACCCTCATTCATTCAACCAAGTGCCTCACACACCACCCCACACTTACATCCAGCTCCTCATCATTCTTAACCCTTAAACTGTCCAAACGTAGATCTACGTTGGTGTGCGTAGCGCTCCGACCTTGATTTTCTCCATTTGAAAGCATGTAAAATCGGACATAGATCCACGTTCGGAGCACTACACATGTCAACGTAGATCTACGTTTGGACAGTTTAAGGGTTAAAAGATGTTTTACCTCCCTGGCTAATGCATGAAATTACTGCCTCCCTCTGTTCATCAACATTTAACAGTTCCTACAGATATTCCCGCCATCTACCTCTAACTCCATTATTCTGTTTTTAAATGTCAAATCCACTTGTTTCCCTAGGCTTCTTAACCTATTTATCTCCAAAAAATTTTCTTATTTTCAGTAAAAATTTTTGTCAGCACCTCGCCCACTCAATCATTTTCTCTTCTTTTGCACTCCCTCACCACTCTCTTCACCTCTCATTTAGTCTCCTTATACTCCACCCTTCTTATATCACTTCTGCTTTGTAAAAACTTCTCATAAGCGACCTTTTTCTCCCTTATCACACCCTTTACCTCCCACCATTCACTCCTCTTTCCTCCTGTACCCACCCTCCTATAACCACAAACTTCTGCCCCATATTCTAACACTTCATTTTCAAAACTATCACACCCCTCTTCAATCCATGCATTACCTACGCTCTCACTAGCCCACCTTTCTCCCAATAGTTGCTTATATCTCACCTTAACCTCCTCCTCCCTTAGTTTATAAACTTTCACCTCTCTTCTACTTGCAGTTGCCATTTTCCTTTTGCCCCATCAGCCTCTTAGTCTAACTGTAGCTTCAGCTAAATAGTAATCTGATACATCTGTTGCCCCTTTATAAACATGCACATGCTGAAGTCTCCACATCAACCTTTTATCCACTAATACATAATCTAACAAACTACTTTCAGCATGTGCTCTATCATATCTTGTATACTGTATATTTATCCTCTTTTTCTTTTTATGCATAGTTCAATTAAAGGTCCCCCTTTTCATTTACCCCTCGCACCCCAAACTTACATACTACTTCCTCCACAGCAGTTTTACTCTAGCGTTTGGTTCTCCCACCACAAGTACTCTCTCACTTAGTTCAAAACTCCCCAAGCACTCACTTAACATTTCCCAAAATCTCTCTCTCTCCCCTCTACACTTCTCTCTTCTTCAGGTGCATAAATGCTTATTATAGCCCCCTTTTCACATTCAACCCTTATTTTACTCCACATAATCCTTGAATTTATACATTTATATTCCCTCTTTTCTTCAGTAATTAATCCTTCAACATTATTGTTATTCCTTCCTTAGCTCTAACTCTCTTAGAAACTCCTAACCTAATCCCATTTATTTCTTCCCACTGAAACTCTCCTGCTCCCTTCAGCTTTGTTTCACTTAGAGCCAGGACATCCAGCTTAGGGGTAATTAAATGATTGTTAACCCTTAAACTGTCCAAACATAGATCTACGTTTGTACTGCTAGCGCTCCAAACGTAGATCTACATTTTATTTTTCCTGCCTCCAAATTTGGCACAATTGGCCTGGGATGCCCGGTATAGAATGGGTCTTAACACTCGGTGCGCACAGTATTAAAAATATCTGGGACCACGTAGTACCTTGTGGGAGCACCAGTTCAATTGAGCACTAGCTAGAGCAAATAGTGTCTCAAACAACTTGGATTCACTGATGTCATGTCATATTAACACTCCCCTTTTAAGAGGAAAGTGATGTTGACCCCAAGTTTAGTGGCTTTGAGATGGATGTGGCCACAAGTGGTCGAGGAAATATCAAAAACCTTGATAATAACCCATGTGCAACATTTGTGCAACATCCTTTCATTTCTGGTACCACTGGTAGTGTCATCCTGCCAGAATGTCCAGTAACCTATGCCCTAAGCAAAGAGAAACTATTCTGGAACATGTAATATGTATTCAGCAGGCTGGGTGGCTGGCTAACTGGCTGACTGGCTTGGGCTCTGTCTCTGTCTTTATCTATCTCTGTCTATATCTCTGTCTGTCTTCCTATCTCTCTCACAGGTACACATAAATACAGTTATTATACATATTGTAAATTACCTAGGATAACCCAAAACATCCAGGCAAAGTACTATACAGTGCTTGTAGATATAAGGCATAATAAGCATGACGCAAGTAATATGCATTTTCACTTGCTCAGGAATCAGGGAGTGACTCGTAAACCTGTTGGTTTACGAGCCGCTCCCTGAGACAGATAGACAAGCAGATGGAAAGACATACACACACAGGCAGACAGAAAGATAGATAAGCAGAGCTAGACAGAGAGATACAGACAGACAGATACAGACAGACACAGATAGATATGGACAGACAGATACAGACAGACAAGTTTGTGTGTAACAGTGAAAACAGATAAAGCCAGGGTTGCTTGGAGCAGTGCACATTCATCAAGTGTCACTGCAGTGTCAGCAGTTTACTAACACTTGTCATAACACCATGGTTCAAGAAGTTTCATATATACTCCAGCATGTCTAAAACAGTGCTGAGACCTATAAATACTTTGTATATATTTCTAGACAATAGTAAATGACCAAGGCAGGTGAAAATGTTCACCTGCTGGTGTGATTGTGACTATTTGAATACTATTTCAGTACCTAATATTAGTGTCAGAACAAAGATTGGCTATGAAATCACAAGAACTGTTATAAATTTTAATTATCAGAACATAAGAATTATATAAATTAAAATAAAAACAAGAAAAAAGGTGTATCGGCAACACTTCTGCAAGCGTCAGGACTCGATGTTGCTGTCAGGTGAGCATCCAGCACTAACTTCACGGGCTTATATCTCAGTAAATACTGAGCCTAAATTTTTTTTTTGTTTTTCCAAATACCAAATACCAAGGGTTCAAGGTACAGGAATGAATCAATACAGTAAAATTATCAATTATTAATCTTTGTGTACTGCTTTAAGCTGTTTTCCCCTAAATAATTTACTCTGTTCTAAACAATAGGTATGGCATACTTATCAAAAATATGCCTGAATTTTTTGCCATGTTATCATGAAAAAGTGTTAATAGATTTATATTTAAATTAGTATTGGTTTCATTAGTATTAGTATTAAATTAGATTAGATTTATATTTAAATTTGTATTAGTTTCATGTTAAAAATTTTTTGTAATTTTTAGATTAATTTCAAAGTGATTGTGATTTATTGAGTTTGCCTTGTTATATATTACAGATATTGGAAAGGGTTCAATTGAAGAGGTTCAAGTTGAGGTAAAAGGAACAAGAGAGGGTGGAGAAGAAACACTAACTGCAGGACTAGATGATGCTGGATTACCACATGTCATATCCATTATTAACAACAGACAGCAGGTGATGAGGGATTATCTGAGTCACTTTTTATTATATTTTTTATCATGTAATTAGATTACTTTATTAAGGATATTAGGGCTACTTGGTTAAGTATGTACAGTGGTACCTCTGTGTATGACCTTAATTAATTCCAGAAGGCTTTTCAAGTTCCAATCTCTTCGAGTACCGAACAAATTTGTTCCCAAAAGGAATAATGTAAAGTAGATTAATCTGTTTCAGACCCCCAAAAATACACTTACAAAAGCACTTACAAAAGTACATTTACATAATTGTTCGAGTTGGGAGCCGGACGTATACCAAGGTACCACTATACAGTGGACCCTCAACCAGCGATATTAATCCGTTCCTGAGAGCTCATCGTTAGTCAAAATAATCGTTAGTCAAGTTAATTTTCCCCATAAGAAATAATGGAAATCAAATTAATCCGTGCAAAACACCCAAAAGTATTGAAAAAAAAAATTTTTTTACCACATGAAATATTAATTTTAATACACACAAACTGAAGATTACATGCACAGTTACATGACACTTACCTTTATTGAAGATCTGGTGATGATTGGTGGGATGGGAGGAGGGGAGAGCGTTATCTTCTTACTGTTTAGAAGGAGAATCCCCTTCCATTAGCACTTGAGGCAGCAAGTCTTTTTCTGGGGTTACTTCCCTTGTTCTTTTAATGCCACTAGGACCATTGTTAGGTAGGACACATATGCAACAGTTAGGTATCTTTATTATGAAACGTATCGCCTACACAGTAGGCTTCTTCAGTCAAGTACAGAAAAGTTGATAGAAGCAGAAGATACTTGAAGACGATGTAATCAGTCCATCACCCTTAAAGTTTTGAGGTGGTCAGTCCCTCAGTCTGGAGAAGAGCATTGTTCCATAGTATGAAACAATATTGTTTCATACTATGGAACAATGCTCTTCTCCAGACTGAGGGACTGACCACCTCAAAACTTTAAGGGTGATGGACTGATTACATCGTCTTCAAGTATCTTCTGCTTCTATCAACTTTTCTGTACTTGACTGAAGAAGCCTACTGTGTAGGCGGAACGTTTCATAATAAAGATACCTAACTGTTGCATATGTGTCCTACCTAACAACCTGTCGGTATTTTATACCATTTTAACGCCACTAGGACCAGCTTGAGAGTCACTGGACTTCTGTCACACAACATATCTGTCCATAGAGGCCTGTACCTCTCGTTCCTTTATGACTTTCCTAAAGTGTTTCACAACATTGTCAGTGTACAGGTTGCCAACACGACTTGCAGTAGCTGTGTCAGGGTGATTATCATCCATAAAGCTTTGCACTTTAAGCCACATTGCACAGATTCCCTTAATCTTAGAAGTAGGCAACTTCTTCAATTTCTCTCTCCCCTCCTCCGAAGCAGTTTCCTCAGGTCTGCCCTCTTGCTGTTCAAGATGATCTAGCAGCTCATCAGTGGTTAGTTCTTCACTGTCCTCCACCACCAACTCTTCCACATCCTCCCCACTAACCTCCAACCCCAAGGACTTCCCCAGTGCCACAACGGATTCCTCAACTGGCATAGGATTCTCAGGGTTAGCCTCAAACCCTTCCAAATCCCTTTTGTCTACACATTCTGGCCACAGTTTTTTCCAAGCAGAGTTCAATGTCCTCTTAGTCAATTCCTCCCAAGCCTTACCTATAATGTTTACACAATTGAGGATGGTAAAATGATCTTTCCAAAACTCTCTTAGTCAGTTGAGTTTCTGAGGTCACTACAAAGCACCTTTCAAACATAGCTTTTGTGTACAGTTTCTTGAAGTTGGAAATAACCTGCTGGTCCATGGGCTGCAGGAGAGGAGTGGTATTAGGAGGCAAAAACTTGACCTTAATGAAGCTCATGTCCCTAGAAAGTCGCTCTGCCACATCTGTAGGATGACCAGGGGCATTGTCTAATACCAGGAGGCACTTAAGGTCTAATTTCTTTTCAATTAGGTAATTTTTCACATCGGGGGCAAATGCATGGTGTAACCAGTCATAGAAAAAGTCCCTAGTGACCTATGCCTTACTGTTTGCCCTCCACAGCACACACAAATTAGCCTTGAGGACATTGTTTTTCCTGAACACTCTGGGGGTTTCAGAGTGATACACCAATAAAGGCTTCACTTTGCAATCACCACTAGCATTGGCACACATCAACAAAGTAAGCCTGTCTTTCATAGGCTTATGTCCTGGAAGTGCCTTTTCCTCCTGAGTAATGTACGTCCTGCTTGGCATTTTCTTCCAAAACAGGCCTGTTTCGTCACAATTAAACACTTGTTCAGGTTTCAGTCCTTCACTGTCTATGTACTCCTTGAAGTCCTGCACATATTTTTCAGCCGCTTGTGTGGTCCGAACTGGCAGCCTCACCATGCCTTATCACACTATGAATGCCACTACGCTTCTTAAATCTCTCAAACCAACCTTTGCTGGCCTTAAATTCACTCACATCACTAGTTGCTGGCATTTTTTTAATTAAATCGTCATGCAACTTCCTAGCCTTTTCACATATGATCGCTTGAGAGATGCTGTCTCCTGCTATCTGTTTCTCGTTTATCCACACCAATAAAAGTCTCTCAACATCTTCTATCACTTGCGATCTCAGTTTCGAAAACATAGTTGCACCTTTGGCAAGAACAGCTTCCTTAATTGCCGTTTTCTTGCCCACAATAGTAGCGATGGTTGATTGGGGTTTATTATACAACCTGACCAGCTCAGAGATACGCACTCCACTTTCATATTTATCAATGATCTCTTTCTTCATCTCCATAGTAATTCTCACCCTTTTTGCTGTAGGGTTGGCACTAGAAGCTTTCTTGGGGCCCATGGTGACTTATTTTGCAGGTGCAATCACTAAAAAGGCTGTGATAATATGAAATGTTCCAGTTGTATGTTTGGAAGCGACCGCGGTGGCTGGCTGGCTTGTAAACACTGGCACCAAAGGGACAAGAGAGGCGCGCTCAGGCCAAAGTGGACGCGTATGGTACGGAACGAAAAGCGCTGGTCGGGTTTTTAAGCGCTAGTCGAGGCAAAATTTTTGCGTTTAAATGAATCGCTAGTCAGATTTATCGTTAATCGATGCCATCGCTGGTTGAGGGTCCACTGTACTTATCTTTAGTTGTAGAAATACAACCATAATTTTGGTGGCCTTTCTTCAATTCATACATATTTTGCAAAATTCCACATTACCTTCTCTTGCATTATATTCCAGCCATCTAGCTCTGGTGAAAAGTTACATGAAAGTTACTCATTTTCTCTGTGTTATTGGTTTTAAATATTTCTCTCTGAGTCACTTTGCATGGTTTTTTTTATAACATAAGTGGTTATATCAATTTTCTCTCCCTTCTCTACTGAAGTTGAATTATGACCAGAGCTTCGGTAAGATGGGAAAGGAAGAAGGATGGGTAAGGATGGAAATATGGGAAAAGGGTTGGTGGGGGGAGTGGAGGTGGGGTAATAAAGGTAAGTGGCTTAACCACTTTGGTGCATTTTAATACAAGTGTGTGTGGTGTTATTCATGAATTTATAAAATTCATAGAATGGGGTATAACACACTGCCTATCAGCTTCACAGTTATAGCAGATGTATAACTACACACCCACATGACAACAGGAGGGTGTAACTCCCCTTCCTGTGATTTATTTCACCCTGAAATGTCACGCGTCACTCCATAAAAGAAAATGCTACAACGTATACTGCCAGGCACATCATCTAAAGAAGGGGACAAGAAGACACAGACCAGCTGGACTATGGGAAACAAAGGAGGGGAGCCATAACCTCTCCAAAGAAGGAGGTTTTTTAGTGCCTGGAAGGAGAAAAGACTGGCAAGCAATGACAGAAATCTTACACCAACTGAAAACACTTCTGGAGCAGAGGCACAGTCATTGGCCTCCACTCCAGAACAACAGATATTAAAGCCAGCAAATAAAACCCCCCTAAGTTCCAGCAATATAACGACATTTATCTTTGCAAACATACAGGGTCTAAAACCGTCAACAAACAACAAAATTCCTTACATCAAGGGACTGCTCACAGAGTCAAATGCAATGTTTGCAGCTTTCACAGAGACCCACATAAAGGATCATTTAGACAACGAAATATGGATCCGAGGTTATAACCTGCCCGAAATGCCCTGGCACGATAGTGGCTTTCTTTGTATTAGCAAACCAAAATTGTAATTACACATTGTAACCTTTACAAAGAAATAAACTCTATCTTCATCTTTATTCAGATGCGACAGACAAAACAGGCAACAAGGGATGGTTGACTTGTACATCACAGAGTTGCTTACTTGTTGAGAACTACTAAACACCTCAAATGATGTACTTGAAGTTTTGTGTGCAACCTCAATAACAAAACCTTGTCATTGAGGTTGTATACAAGCCTCCAGATGCAATTTCCCAGCAATTCCAGGAATAGCTTTGGAAAGTTGACCACTGTCTGGAAAATCTCCCAACTCCTGCCCCAAACATCTTGGTACTGGGAGATTTCAATTGAGACACCTAAAATGGAGGAGTGTAGCAAATAATATTTTAGAGATCACCCCAGGAGGCACCTCAGATGAAAATTCACACACACACATTTCTTTCTTTCAACACACCGGCTGTATCCCACTGAGGCGGGGTGGCCCAAAAGGAAAAAGGAAAGTTTCTCCTTTCAAATCTAGTAATATATACAGGAGAAGGGGTTACTAGCCCCTTGCTCCTGGCATTTTAGTCGCCTCTTACAACACGCATGGCTTACGGAGGAAGAATTCTGTTCCACTTCCCCATGGAAATAAGAGGAAATAAACAAGAACAAGAACTAGAAAGAAAATAGAAGAAAACCCAGAGGGGTGTGTATATATATGCTTGTACATGTATGTAGCACGTAATGAAAGTAGTTTGTTAGATTATGTATTGGTGGATAAAAGGTTGATGGGTAGGCTCCAGGATGTACATGTTTATAGAGGGGCAACTGATATATTGGATCATTATTTAGTTGTAGCCACAGTTAGA